TCTGCTCCCATAAAGATTTACAGCCTCAGAAACCCTGTACAGAGTCGTTATGAGTCAGAACCGACTCCACGGCACATAACAACAACAATACACACAAATATATACATAATGTGTATATATATACACACACACACATAGACAGACAGATAGATAAAGACAGAGAAAAAGAGCACAGCCAGATATAAAACTTAAGTTCAGACATTTTAGTTCTAAATAGGAAGTTGATAAAGCTATATTTACTACAGTTATTACATCAGTCCTCCAACAACATGGTAACCAAAATTTATTGTAACTGCATATGGTACAGATTTCTCCACCTCCTCAGTCCACAAATCAGTTTGTAAATTGCAGATGCTCAAAACCCAAAATCAAGTTGATCCCAACTCACAATAACCCTTTTGAACTTCCAAATTTATAAGTCTTTAAGGAAGCAGACTGCCTCATCTTTTTCTCTTTAAGTGGCTGGTGGGTTCAAACTACCAACCTTTCATCTAACAACCTAGTGCTTAATCCACTGTGCTACCATGGCTCCTTAACAGTTGTTTAGTGACCAATTATGTCACATTTTTCAATGTTTGTTGGTGACTGGTCAATGTGCATGTGTTATTCAGTTCACACATAGACAGTAAAGCATGTAGTTGTGCTGTCTTCTTGTCTCCCAGTATTAAACTCACATGGCATCTTATAAAAATGGATAAATGAAAAAGGAATTTGACCTATACAGATGAAACTGTAGCAAAGAAACAAAAAGTGATAGAGCTGGAAGTGAAGTTCAACAGAACATGGGTGTAGTTAAATAAAAAACTGATTGTGGAAATGTTGACTTGGGCTGTTTCACAGACTCATACTCTAGATATGTAGCCAGAGGATCTTTGTGAAGGTAAGTTTGGTTCCTTGAATTTACTTGATATGGCTTTTCTATCCAAAGTCTTCTTAATTCCTGCCAAGTGATTGGGTGAGATTATGCAAATAAGGTATACAAGACTCTAAGGCTGGGACGGGTTAGAAGGAGTCATCACAGAAGCAGAGACAGAAGATCCCAAGGTCATCAAGAAGGAAGAGCATCAGTGGAGAATGAGACTTTCAGAGGCTAGGGCATGAGGCGAAGGCAGAGACAACAGCAGAGAGAAGATGATGATGGCAGAAATGACTGCAAAGACAACAGCTGAGAGCCAAGGTGGTGGCATGTAGAGACGCAGGAGCTTCAGACTGTAGGCTTATGGACTGAGTAAAGCTGAGTGCTTACAGGCAGGAGACTTGCTTGCAGAATGTACCCTTTGGGCATTCACAGCCTGGCTACAAAGGCTTTGTATCACCTGCCCAAGCAGGGCAGAAACTAAAGGAACACATGACTAAGAGGCTGAAAACAAGAGTGAAGTTTGCCTGCAGTAGGGCAGCAAGAGGCATTCCTGACTGGAGAACTGCTCTATCCTGAGTTGGTTTCCATGCTGAATTATACCCTGTCCACTTCCCTAATAAATTCCATAATCATGAGTATTGTTATGAATTCTGTGTGGCCATTACAATGGGTTATCGAACTCAGATACGAAGCAGAGAGTGTTGTGGGAAGAATGTTTGGTGTCAGAATAGGGTAAAGAAGGTTTTAGGGTGGAAGCACGTCTGGCTTCAGCTTCATGGGATTCAACCGTGAGCTAATTTTGAGTTTGACTCTCTTTTCCCCTTGTGAAGTCAGGGGAAGTCAAAATAGTCCCCACATGGATTTTGCAAACATTTAACATAAATAGAAAAAAGGGATTGTGATGAAAAGATACAGATATCTCAAAGTACATGATGCTGCAACAAATATCAAAGTAAAGGAACTCTGGTATTATTTTATGATATAGACAGTACAAAAGATGACATGTTAGAAGCTGACTCATATGTAGGAAACCAAAATTCAAACCTACTGCCATAGAGTCTATTCTGACTCTTAGTGACCCAGTGCAGAGTTTTCCAGACTGTAAATCTTTACAGGATCAGAGAGTCACATCTTTCTTACATGGAGCAGCAAGTGGATTTGAATTGCTGCCCTTGAGGTTAGCAACCTAACACCAAACCCACAGTGCCATCAGGGTTCTTTATACTTAGCAAGGAGTACGATATTTCAGCAAGGCATCTTTTCAGATGCTTGTATTGTATTATATGACAAAAAGAGAGTGGCAAGAACATTTAAACTAGTCTAGGTAAGTGTTTTACAAAGAAAACACTTTAATTCTCAATGCTTTTAATGTTCTAAATTATATGATGTAGCGCTGTACAATACCACTGGACTGCTAACCCCAAGGTCGGCAGTTCAAACCCAAGAGTCACTGCTCGAAAACCCTATACAGGGTCAAGATAAAAAAACAATTTTTGATAAAGGAAACCAGTGTAAATTGCTACAATTTGATGAGCTTGACCTATACTATGGATGTGTTGTTGTTCTTGTTAAGTGCAATCGAGTCGATTCCAACCCATAGTGACCCTGTATAGGGCTTCCAAGGAGCTGCTGGTGAGCTTGAACCACCGACCTTGCAACTCAAACAACTTTGCAGTCTGATGCATTAGCCCACAAAGCCACACCGGGAAGGATTCCACTTATAGATGTAATATCTCAAAATACCAACTGAGATGGAAGGAGTCTTCACAGCAAGTATTATTCCCATCCCCTCTGTATACAGGGTAGATAGTGAAGGGCAACTTAGACATTGGTGATAAACGCATGAAGTGACTGGCTTACAAATATTCAAAAGGGAGTTTAGTTTCAGAGTGTGCAGGGGAAGGCAGAGTCCCCACTAAATAGTTCTCATCTTGTCTAGACAGGTCTGGTGAAAATAAATGGGGATAAGGATAAGATTCTTATGATTCAATAGTGAGTAATTGTTATCATGACTAACTGCGACTGTCACAACTATAAAGGTAGAAGTTTTGTAGTAAAAAAAGTAGTTAATCTTACAGTCCAGAAACAGAGGATCCTAGGACCATCAAGGGAGAAGAGCACAAGCTGAATGTGGGACCCTATCCAGAGAAGCAGCAACACCAGAGATGGAAGTAGAAATGAGTACATGGAAAGAAGGAGCAGCTGAGGACTCTAGACTCATGGAAAGAGATAGGCTGTGTGCTGGCGGCCAGAAGGCAGGCTGTGCCCTTTGGTTGTTCAAATTATTATATATTCCTGAGTGTTTTTGTGTATATACCCCCTCCCACCTCCACCCCCCAAAAAAAAACTAACCAGAGGGAATAGAAGCAAATACTGTTGAATGATGATGCATGGAGGAGATTGTAATCATGGTAATGAAATGATGGTGTAAAACTGATGTTATCCCATGTAAACTATCACTCAATTCACAATAAACACTTTTAACAACAACAACAACAACAAAAAAACCTATATAAGGTCATTATAAGTTGGAACCAACTCAACAGTACCTAATATCACAATGACATGAAACAAACTTAAGTTTTTATCATCTTTTTCATTTCACTAAATAATTATAATCAACAACAAGAAAGTGTTTAAAGTTTTGACAACATTTGTAAAGGTCATGGAACAAGATTAATCTCCCCATAGATTAAGATCTTTTTGCATGGTTTCCATTTGTACTGCCATTTAAAAATAATCCAATGTTACTATAAAAAGCAAGACTATCTGTGTGTAATAGAAAAGACAATACAATTTTCATTTTCCCAAGTTAGAACAGCCTCAGGCATTTAGGTGTTAAAATTTTTAAGAAAGCTATTCTATTCTTCCATGTAGTTATTATACATTTTTATAAAAACTAATTTTGTTTAATTATTTAAAATTTTGAATAGAAGGTATGAAATGAAAATATATTTTATTTAACTATATATTGAACACAAGCTCATTCTTCTTTTAATTTGTTTCATTATAAATGAATTAGATGAAACCAAGGCCAGCACAGCTATTCCTATAGACTTAAGCAGTATTTTAAAAAATTCTAATAATATAAAAACCTAGTTAAATCCTACTATTGAGCATATTATTTCCTATGCAAACAATAAGGAAACTGAAGATCCATTTATGGCAATAAAGAAAGGCAGGAAAGATCACTCTATTTTTACCTTTGCATTTCCCATTCTCAAGTGTTTGTTCCTAACAAGAAATACTATCTGCTACAAGTCAACTCAAAATGGAGCATAAGAATAAATTCTAAGTAAGTATATAAAATTATAATCCATAAAGCTCTAACATTCAACTACGGTAACAAGCAAATAAGTAAATGCTAAGTGGATACAAGTATATCAGCATTTGTACTTTGGATAGCCATCATATGTTAACATGGTACAAAAATTGTCTAAATATAAACCTTATAATATGCTGATAAAATCATTGAGTTTATTATTAAGAAAACGGGGTTACTATTTCTACTAAAAGAAAGCAAACTTATAAAAACAAAATTATAACGTTGGTACAAAATTTTAGATAAAAATACCACCACTACAAAACATACCTTCTTGCTCTTTTGCCTTTTCTGTCTTTGGCTGTGTCTGAATCCACAATATCTGCTCTGAGGCAGTCCAAAGTCCCTGAAAATGAAAGGTGCTCTCCAAAGTACATTCGGTAGCAAAGTGGCACTGCATCCTGAGATTGGATCCCTGTATGACTCAGAAGAGGTTTAAAAACAACCTAAAAAATATAATCATTCATATTAGTTCAATTCATAATGATTCACTATGTTATTTTTCTGATCAGACTGTAATTATTATTACAATATTGTGAAGCAAGAGGTCTCATATAATAAATACTCTACAAGCTTACTTAAAATTTAATATTTGAGAAGATATTATGCATCACTTATCTTCAAATTAATCATATGGACAAAGACTCTTTAAGCCTGACTGAATGACAATCCAAGGAAAGTAAAATTTTAAATTAGTTTAAATCATTCTAATTCTTGCAAAAGATATAAATAACTACCTTGTTTCCATAAATATCGGTGTATTAGGTTCACAAAGTGGTTTATTAACTTCCTATTTTAATATAAAAATGTTTCATGTATTTATAAATGGAGTCCTGGTTTGAACTGCAAGATCGGCAGTTCAAATCCACGAGCCACTCCTTGGAAACCCTAGACAGGGTTGCTCTGAGTGGGAGCCATCTCAATGGCACTTAACAACAACAATTACAGATATCTGGCCTATGTTTAAATGTTGTCACTGGGTTAACAGTTTTTTTAACATTTATTTACTGATAGTTTTTTATATTTTTTAGAACATACTTATTTACAGAATATACTACTCTAGTTAACTAAATTTGTAGTAAACAAAATTTCTCAGATACTAAGAATCAACAGAAGCTCCAGAACCTTCTGAGGTGGGACATTCCCACTTAATAGGACATGCAGACCAGTCTGGAACAGCTAGAGAAACAAAAGATAATTCTTGAAAGAAAGACCAGCAAGAAAAAACAAAAACAAAACTGGCAGCCTATTTGGCTATTACAATAACAAGCAAGATGTTTGCTGGGGAGCCATCAAGGCAAGCAATCAAGTCCCTTCAAGACAAAACCCTCTCCAAGACTGAATCTCAAAGAGAACACACAAGCAGCTATGTAAGCTAGCTGGTGACATCAGTCTACATGTGAGTGGAAGTGGGAAAAGTCAGTTATGAAGATATGGGCTGAGTTTGACCATGTTCTATAGACTCCTGTCGACCTCAAGATAAGAGAAAGAAAGGGAAGGGCTGGTTGGTCCAGGCTGTTGGTCTGAAGTCTGGGGAGACTTGGGAACTCCTGAGCCCAGGGACATTGACCTAGCCATGGAGACCTAGAGCTGAGAGTAAAGAGTCTGGCTGATATGAAGTGGGGTTGACACACCGGGGGGGGGGGGGGTTGACGCACAAACTTGCAGACAGTACGCATTAGACCTAGCTTTGATGGCTTGATGACCAGAGCTTGATTAGAGAACGATAAAGATATTTGATAATGCAAGCAAGTGTAAATTGCTACAATTTGATGGTCTTGACCTGTATTTATGGATGTAGTAGCACAAAATAACAACCAAGAGGGAAGGAGTCTTCACATCAAGGATTAAGTCTATTACCTTGGTAAACAGGATTGATAAGGATGGGCAACTTGAGACACTGGGTATCTAAAATGAGGGAGGGGAGGTAATAAAAACACAAAGTGGCTGGTTTTTCAGAGCAAGGTGGAGAAGGTAGAATCCCTACTGAAGAGTTTTCATCTTATCTAGATGTGGTGAAACGAGATGGGGATAGGAATCTTTTGATTTAATAGTGAGTAACTGTTATCATGATTAACTGCGATTGTCACAACTGTAAAGGTAGAAATTGTGTAACAAAAAGTGGGGAGTAGTTTATCTTACATTCCAGGAACAGGGGACTCTAAGATCATCAAGAGAGAACAGCATGAGCAGAACACGGGATCCTAACCAGAGAAGCAACAACACCAGAGATGGAGGCAGAAGTGATGGCATGGAAAAATAGAGCAAATGAGGACTTGACTCATGGAAAGAGAAAGGCTGCACGCTGACAGCCAGAAGGCAGGCTTGCAGAATGTGCCCTTTGGTTGTATAAATGATTATATATTCCTGAGTGACTATGTATACATCAAACAACAACAACAACAACAACAAAACCCCAGATGGAACAAAAGCATATATTGTTAAATGATGATGCATGGAGGGGATTGTAATTATTGTAATGAAACAAAACATAATAGGATGGGTATAAAATCAATGTTCTCTCATGTAAACTATCACTCAATTCATAATAAAAGCTTAAAAAAAACTCAACAGAAACAAATTACATTTTCTACTGCATGACTCTTTTTCCTCCTCCGACATCCCATATACAGATATTCTCCAATGTTTTCCTCAGCCCCTTTCAAACTCTTTCACTATACATTTTGCTTTAGTAATCCTGAAGCTCGAAAATTTTTATAGAAATGGACAAAAGGTATTTGTGCAATGAGATCCAAGTTCATATTTTCCACTATCTGTAGGTCCTCTCAAGGAGCTTTGGTAGTGTAGTGGTTACAAATTGGGCTGCAAACCACAAGGTCAGAAGTTCGAAACTACCAGCTGTTCGTGGGAGAAAGATGGGGCTTTCTGCTCCCATAAAGATTTACAGCGTCAGAAACCCTGTACAGGGTCGCTATGAGTTGGAATCAACTCCACAGCACATGACCACCACCATAGGTCCTCTCATTTATTTGTGCTTAGGGGAAAAATGGTCATTCTTGTGAATGTCTGAAGTCTTAAAATGAGACAATTCAAACAATTTTAATCTAGACTAGAATTTTAGGGAGATGTTCTCTCTCCCTTGCTCGTGCTTGGCATACATACCGTTGGGTTTAATTTTTCTTAGATATTCTCATTTATCTCAATGGAAAATTATTCCTCCTTTCAAGGTTCAAACTATCTTCCCTCTTTTAACAACTTTGTTATCTATTTATGTCCCCTGGTTACTCAGCCATATCTACTAAAGACCTTGTTCTTTTTCTTTCTTTCAAAGAAAGACTTTGGCGTACTTTCTTCTTTTTCTGTTTCATCCCAATTTAACATCTTGAATGACTTCACTGGCCATTAAATTACCCAACCAACAATTCAAACCCAAAATTTTGGTTCCTTGTCTTCTCCATTTCAGCATTTCCATAGATTTTATATACCATCTCAATACCTCATTTACCTTACTACATCAGTCAACTAATTTCTACTTATATAATAATTCTACAAAGAGTTCTAGTCACTTTATTGCTCTGCTCTAGTCTTCAAGGTCTTCCCATTGTTCACTCAATAGTCTTAACAAAGTTTACAGACTTCCTGATAAGACTGAATTTTTCTTTCTAGTCCTGATACTGTTCTAATCTGTACCTCCAACTAAGAAAATGATACATGAAATTAAATGTCACCTTTCTCTTTAATGAGCATCTATAGATGCTTCATTTTCATTTATAATTAACCTATTTTTTTTTTAAATGTTACATGTAACATTTTAACTGTTTATGTGCATGTGTATTAAGTCAAATACTTTTTAAAGGCTCCTCACTTTTTTGCATGACAGCTTTTGGCAGACAGGTACAAAATACAGATCTTCATTAGAATTCCAACATCCTTATTGTTTAATGATCCCATTGCTAAGTAGCATACTAACACAATTAAGAGAAGAGGCTGGCTCACCTGTGCATCAGCAAGCTGAACAGCAGGAAACCCCTGGTTTGCTTCTTCTACACCAGCCACGTCATCTTGACTAGTACTATGCTGAGAATGTGTACCATCCAAAGTATTCTGGTCACTAGATAAAACTGTGTTGAAATCGGAAGCTGAAGGTATTGTAGGAAGATTGGGTGCAACACCTAACAGAACAAGTTTTCAAAGAGTAAAATGTAAATTACTGGAAAAGAAAACAACTTAAATGGCACAGTTAGATAAATTTGTGAAACTTCCATTATAGAACCATTAATCTGAACAGAAAGAAATTAGTTAGTATTTTGAATTTATTTTCAGGCATGACATACTTAATGAAAATGAAAGTAAACCAAATTTTAAGAAAACACCAGTCATCTTCATACACAAACTCAGTCAGTTCACATGTAGAAGTTTATGACCAGGTCTTTGAGAAGCATTTTATGTCCCATCAGCTTTGCACTGAATGGAGTTCAGGGCTACAAAAAGCAGCATTTGTCATCAGGTATCACAAAACCACACATATACATTCTTCTAAGCTATGCTTTCCTGAGACAGAACAAAAACAAAATGTCTCTGTTCTTTCCTTATGCTCCCTTTGTGTTTTATCTCATCAGGCAAAGGACCCACAATAAAGACAAAGGGCACTTGCCATAATAAAGAGTTCTCTTTATATTTAAACTATATATATTCTCTAAGTAATGAGAATAGCATCAGGAAGGTATCAAATACTAAACGGAAGTATCATCTTTCATCTTCTATAGATTCAATGCAACAAAAAATAAATGGTATTAATAACTTTAATAGAAAAAGAGAATGGAAAGGCATGTCCACTTAAAAGTCTGGTTAATTCCCATCCAGTCTCCTTTCTACTTATACTTATTATTATAAAATTAATAAAGGCCCTCACTTGTCTCTCGCTAAGGGCAAGAATCTTCTCTTAGTATTCTCTAGAATTACTTAAATGTTTCTTAAGAAACCAGAAGGAAAACAAGGAAACTAGTTATTATAGATAATCTTAAAGTATTTCTTTGTATTGTAGTCACATGATGTGGAAATTACACTTACATTTATTCACTGATATCCTTTTGGTGTCTTAAAAATTAAACTAATCACATTAAGTGGTAGTTTTATAATATTTAACGTATATACATTCTCCTATTTGCCATATTTGCCTTTCCTAATGAACACCGAGTGACTGCTTACTACTTTTTGCAATACTATCAAAAGCACTTCATAAATGGGTCAATTTCAACTAGAAAGTATCTAAAACATTTTTTTTAATTTGATATTTTTAAACATCTTCTGTAATTTTAAACATGTCCCTTATGCAGTTAAGACAAATAATGTGATAACTCAATACCTGTTGGAAGACTATTGTGCACTGACTTTGTAACAGGAGATTCTTGTACCACGCTTCCTCGATTACCCACAGCATTTGACATCCAATTATAGAAGCTCACAGATGATGGTTCAGATAACAAGGGGTGTTCAGATAACATATCAGTGGCCACTGTATTTCCTGTAAATAAAGACTTACTCAGTAGGACATTACTTATACACTAAGTGGCAGAACAAAAGAAGCTCTAGTGGCACTGTAGGATAAGCACTGGACTGTTAACCACAGGTTTGGCAGTTCAAACCTACCAGTTGCTCCATAGCAGAGAGGTATGAGGCTTTCTGCTACTGTAAAGATTTACAACCATGGAAATACTAAACAGGGTTGCTATGAGTCAGAATCAACTCGATGGCAGCTGGTGTCATTTTTTTGATTAAGAGGCAGAACACAATTATTTTTGGAAAGTTAAGTAAAGGTGCTTATCTGCAGACATTTTCAAGATCTCACAGAACAATGTTGGTCATTGGATATTAAAAGCACTAATAAAGAGAAATCAGAAGTTGGCTGGATTAGACAATACCTCATAACACCCTTTCACTGATAGCAAGGCCAACGTTGCCTTTTAAAAATGCACACTAAGGGTGTAAGGACATTTAAATGACACAACACTGTAAAAATTTAAAAAAATATTTTCTCAAAGATAATGTGCAATATGAAAGACCTGTTGTAAAACTCAAAAGTGATCAAAGTTATCGTTATATCTACCTGTTCTCGTTAGAGAGCTACTTTTCACAGCTGCACTACTTCTCTGGGGAGTCCCTTCCAGGAGATTGTGTAAGCTTGGGAAGCTTCCAGTCAGGTAGCTGAGTAAACTCTCCTTCCTCGGACTCTCCTTTACTGGCATCCCAGAACGCCCAACATGTACAGGCGAATCCGTGGCAGTGTCTCCGCTGGTATAGCTCAGAGAATGATATGGGTGAATGCCCTATGGAAGGAACAACATAGGATTCTTGCTCATGCATATAATAACCACTTCCAATACAACAACTACTATTACTGCCCCTATTCTTAAACCTTAATACAAACATCAATTACTAGGTCTTCTACAATTGTGGTGAATCTCAAATATATGCAAAAATGTTTTACAACTCTATAGTTCAATACAAAGGGAAGCTTTTATTACGATAGTTATAGTGAAGTGTCTTCACTTATTTTAAGAATGAGTCATTAATTTTCTTCTAACTCTGAAGAGGGAGTTTGGTGGTAAGATATATGATTGTAAGCATATCAAATACATGGCAAAAAACAAAGGACTCATTAACACCAAAGAAATAAGAGACACAGCATCAGGACCTCAGGAATTTATGATCAGGGTATTTGTGAAAGCTTTACAGAATATCACTATATAAGCAAAGAAAAAACAGAGCCTAATATGAGTTTGCCCCATCAATCAACTTGTGGGCTTTTAAATATCCTTTTTTAAAAAACTTGTTATTGTAAATCGAGCGATGGTTTACAGAGAAGATTATCAGTGTTACTTAAAAAACTGATATACTTTCTTTCATCTCAATAATTGCAATTGTCTCCATGTAACAATAGTTATTTGACTTCTCTGTAGTTCTATTTCCCTTCCACCATCCAACCTCGCCCTTCTCATCTTTGCCCCTAGATAAATGTTGCCCTTTTGATATTCAATGGTTGACCATTAATTACATAATGAGTATACTTTACTACTGGTGATGTCCCCCCTAGGTATCAGTCTACTGCTTAGGTGAAAATTGAGAAATGAGGCTGACTTCTGTTCCAGACCTGAAGGGTGGTCAGAGCTATAATCTTGGGTTCCTCCAGTATCTTTCTGACCAGTAAGTTTGGTCTTTTCTTTATGAGTTTTGTTCCACATTTTCTCCCACCCTATCTAGGACCTTCTGATGTAATCCCTTTCAGAGCAGTTGCTAGTGGTAGCTAGGCACCATCTAGTTCTGGTCTCAGTGTCATGGTAACTGATGTTCACAGGTTCCATTGGTCCACTGGACTAGCTGATTCCACGCATCTTCAAATTTTCATCACTCATCTTTATTCCACACAAGGAGAGCCCAATAGTTGCACCTTAGATGGTGGCTCATGAGCTTTAAAGATCCCAACTGCTACTCCACAATGTATGTAGAATATTGTCTTTGTGGACTTTGTTATGTCAGTTGACCATGGTGTCCCCTAAGACTATGGTTCTGAGTCCGAAGCCCAGCAAATTATTCCCTTAAGATGTCTGATGTTATCTAAGTGCTTTCATCATTTTGTCCCTGTATGTTTCACCACCCACAGTTTGTCTGTCAGTATGTTGCACTGTGGTAGGTTGTATTGTTACTGTGATTATGGAAGCTATGCCACCAGATATTTTGAATGTCTATAGGGTCACCCGAGGTAGAGAGGTTTCAGCTGAGCTTCCAGACAAGGCAGACTCATAAGAAGACACAAAGAATACTTCTGAATGTTTAGCCACTGAAAACCTCTGAGTAGCAGCGAAGCATTGTCTGAAAGTAACAGAAAAATAAATATCGAAACATGATAAATAGCACCAGAATACTGTTAGATACAGTGCAGGAAGATGAATCCCTTAGGTTAGAAGGCATTCAAAATACAACTGGGAAAGAACTGCCTCCTCAAAGCAGAGCTGACTCTGATAACATGAATAGAGTAAAGCCAGAGGGACCTTCATTTGCTGATAGGGCACAACTCAAAATGAGGAGAAACGGCTGCAAACATTCATTAATAATTGGAATGTGGAATATACAAAGTATGAATCTAGGAAAATTGGAAGTTGTCAAAATGAAATGGAGTGCATAAAGATCATTATGCTAGGCATTAGTTGGTTGAAATGGACTGGTATTGACCATTTTCAATCTGAAAATCACATGTTTTACTCTGCTGGGAATAACAAATTGAAGAGGAATGATATCACATTCATCATCAAAAAGAACATTTCAGTGTATGGTTGCTTCCATTTTTGTATTATTTTTAGTAAAACTTTACTCGCATGGGATATCAATGATATTGCCCAATGATTTCTACATCCTGCTGGGTCACCTGTCTTTGAAATGGACACAAATATGGATCACTTCCAGTTAGTTGGCCAGGTAATTGTTTTTCAAATTTTTTGGCACATTAGTTTGTTGAAAGATTTCAATTTGTATTCCATCAATTCCCAGTGCCTTGTTCTTTTGGCCAAAGCCTTCAAATGTACATTGGACTTCTTCCTTCCAGATCACTGGTTTTTGATCACTTGCTATGTCTTAAAATGGTTGAACATCAACCATTTCTTTGTGTGTGTGTTCAGATCTTTTTATTCCTTCAAATTTTTCTTTATTAGGAGTGACTGAAATAAAAAATATAATGGACTGTAACCATCATCAGTATCATCATGGACATGACTTCAAGAGAAAACTGGTCAGATAAATATTATTATTTCCCATTTTCAACTAGTAGATAGTTGCCATGGACACAGACAGCCGACAGTCTGTCAAGAATTCTCAAATCTGCTCTATAATACAACATGCCCATTCACAGGGGAAACCAAACTAGGAAATAACTTATGTGTACTTATTGATTTCATCATACAAGTCAAGCACAGAAGCACCACCCATGGCTCTGAGCACATAGGACCATGCGCCCTTGAAAAAGGCTTTGCTGCGTTCGTCACATGTAATCTTCCTTCTGCAGTCAAGGGTGTCTGTGTACATGATATCGGTTCCTTTGCACCCTGACTATATCATCATGTGACAAAGAACAGTGTCAAATAGGTAGGAAGTCAACCTGGCCGCAGCCGTGACAGATTGAGTGATCATCCAGCTCACAAAGATGTGAGTATCTGCAAGCATTCCCTTTGCAGTGCCATAGTTACTAAAGTAGGCAGCCCAGTTGATGATAATACCTTGCACAGACACATTAAAGTCTTGGTACAGAACCTTGGTGTTGTTGTTGTGAAGTGCCGTCGAGTCGGTTCCGACCCACAGCAACCCTGTATAGGGTTTTCAAGAACAGAACCTTGGTATAAATCCTTAATCACACTTGGAAATTTTAATCAGGCAGTCACCAAGGCCTTTGAACTCTCTTTCAGCACCAGCAGATGCTAGACAGGTACGGGCGAAATCCAGACGGTACATGAAGCACAAGGATGTCGCCTTGGTAGCACCACCAGATGCCAGATTCCTGGCAAAGTAGTGGCCATAACTGGCACCACTTTGTCCACACCACCCTGAAAGATCTGCTTATATTTATCTTTGAAGGCAAAGTGGAGAGCTTGAGTGGGGAAGTATCTGATGACACTGGCCAGGTTACCACGCCAGGACAGGACTCCCTGCTCCTTGGGGATCTGAACCACTCAATTGATAATGTCCTTTGTACTACTTATCTGTGGTGATTTGCTAGCTGGCATGTTACACCTGCAGCAGCAGCTTGACCCATTTGATGGGTGCTACCATGATCTTGGAGATGGCCGCGGCCACTCCACCTACAAGGAAGTCCTTGGCGAAGGACACAGTGGCATCTGTCATGTTGAAAGAGGAGGAGGCGGGCTGTGGCAAGACTGGAACTGGAACCAGCTTTGACTCTGGGGCTCTGGGGTGCAGCAGTACCAGTGACAACCATTTCTTTTTGGTATAATAACTCTGTGTATTCCTTCCATCTTCTTTTGATGCTTTCTGCATCATTCAATATTTGTCCATAGAATCCTTCAATACCGCATGTCCAAGCTTGAATTTTTTCTTTAGTTCCCTCAGCTTGAGAAATGCTGAATGTGTTCTTCCCTTTTGGTTTTCCAACTACAGGTCTTTGCACATTTCATTATAACATCTAACTCTGTCTTCTCAAGCTGACCTTTGAAATCTTTTGTCCAGCTCTAGTACCTCCCCACTTCTTCCACTTGCTTTAGCATCTCTTCACTGGAGAGGAAGTTTCAGAGTCTCTTCTGACATCCATTTTGGTCTTTTCCTTCTTTCTTGTGTTCTTAAATTGACCTTTTGCTTTCTTCCTGCACGATGTTCTTTGATCAACCACAACTCTTCTGAGCTTCGGTCTTTAGTGTTTAATGAATCAAATCTGTTCTTCAGATAATCTGTAAATTCAGGTGGGATATATTCAAGGTCATATTTTGGTTCTTGTGGGCTTGTTTTAATTTTCTTCAGCTTCAGTTTGAATTTGCATATGAGCAATTGATGGTCATTCCACAGTCTGCCCCTGACCTTGTTTTGGCTGGTTACATGGAACTTTTCTACTGTCTCTTTCCAGAGATGTGGTCAATTTGATTTCTGTGTATTCCATTTGGTGAGGTTCATGTGCACAGTCATCTTTGATATTGTTTAAGAAAGATATTTGCAATGCAAATGTCACTGGTCTTTCAAAATTCTTTCATGAGATTTCTAGCACTGTTTCTATCACTAACGCCACATTTTCCAATTACTGATCCTTTCTCTTTGTTTCCCACCTTTGCACTTCAATCATCAGTAATTATCAATACATCTTGATTGCACATTTGATTAATTTCAAACTGAAGAAGTTTGTAGAATTATTTTTGGATATTATGGATTTTATCCTATCCCAGACAGTGTTGTACTGCAAGACAGGTCTTGATATGTTCTTTTTGACATGCATCCTTTATTTAAAATACAAATATTCTAGATTTCATTTTTACCTTAATCAATATATGTATTTGTGGTCATTCTATATCCACTTAGAGATCTAGTTCATCTTTTCAAATCTTTATAGTAAGCTTCTATATTTGTATACACTAAATTGTTAGTTAATTTTCCAGTGGCTAGTCATTTAGGTCATTTCTATTATTTTACTATTACAAATAATGCTTCAACGAACATTTGAATATGTTCTTGAATATGAATCTTTGAGTATCTATGGCTATTTATATAGCATGGATACCTGGATACAGAAATGTTGGGTCCAAGGTCATCACATTTTAAATATTGATGTTGTTGTTGTTGTTAAGTGCCGTCGAGTCGGTTCCGACCCATAGCGACCCTGTACAGGATTTCCGAGGGTGTAAATCTTTACGGGAGTAGAAAGCCTCATCTTTCTCCCGCGGAGCGGCTGGTAGTTTCGAACTGCTGACCTTAAGGTTCGCAGCCCGATTCGTAACCACTACGCTACCAGAGCTCCTTTAAATATTGATACATATTATTAAATTGTTCTTCTAAAAGGCTGTATCAGTTTAACCTCACATCAACAATATACTAGAATGTGTTTTCTTGCATCTTCACCAACACCACCAAACATTTTAGTTTTCCTAATCTAATAGTTGAAATTGAAAATTCATTTTAATGTACATTTATTTAACTCTTTAGAAGAGAATACAATTTCATATGTTTATGCACATCTTTCTGTGAACTGCCTATTTATATCCTTTAACTATTTTTCTGGTGTTTTGTTGTTATTGTTACTGGTATGATTAAGAAGAGTTCTTTACAATATTAGGAAATTAGTCCCTTGTAGGAGTCCTGGTGTGGCATTGCAAGAGAATGCACTAGACTGCAAGGTTGGTTTGAATTGCAAGGTTGGCAGGTCAAATCCATCAGTAACTCCTCAGAAATTCTAGACAGGATTGCTATGAGTTGGAACTGACTCAAGGGGACTTAACAACAAATGTGTCTCTATTCTGTTCCAATCATTTTTTCCACATAGAAATTTTATATTTTAATATGGTCAAATTTGGGTATTAAAGTTGAAACACAGATTTTCAAAGAACGTTCAAGTATTAACTGTCTGCTGCTTTTAGTGTCCAGAAAAACATACTATTAAAAATAACCCACAATACCAACTACCTTATTGATCACTTATGATGTGTCATATACTGTCTTAAGCATTTTTTGTTAACTGAATTTTTTTTCTCACAATAACCCACTGAAGTAGGTTATTATCATAATACTGATTTTACAGCTGAGGAGGCTAAGGCTCAGTATAGAACTTGATCAGTAACGGAGTAAGTCAGTCACAGAGTCAGGGTTCAAATCAAGGCAGCTTGTCTCTCAAGATAATAGTCTAAGCATCTTCTATATATGTCTCATCAAATTATCAGTTAAATTCTATAAAACAAAATAATATAATTAAAATAATAAAATAGCCTAATCCAAAGCATATGTTGATCATATACTTCTCCAAATGCTTCTCATTAAAGTGGCCCTTAGGATACTGCCATCTTTTTCATAATGTATATTATTGGGTACATTATTTAATAAATTGAAGAGAGTTATAAGGATTGGTAACTAAAGTAACCCTTATTTAGTGTTAATTAGCAATGACAAAAATTTGGGGAAAAAAAACAGTGTTAGCTGAAACATAAAAACAGTATTTGGATATTTAGGATGTTGTTGTTCAGTGCCGTTGAGTTGATTCTGATTCACAGAGACACTATATAGGGTTTCCAAGGTGTAGTGGTTGGGTTTGAACTGCCGACCATGTGGTTTGCAGTCAGTGCTGATTCTACAACACCACACCAAGAACCCTGATATTTAAATTTGAGGCAACAAAAGTTGAAGACTTGTCTGTGAAAAGTTTGAATATATAACTCGAACCAAAAGTAGCAACAGCATACCTTAATTTTTAGTGCTGAGTCACTATGAGTATGAGTCTTAGAAAGTTTCCTCATGATCTCAGCTCCAGTTACAGGACCAGAGCCACCAGGTGGAGGCCGGTTAGCTGTTCCTTCCAGTAGCATTGTATGCTCACTGACTGTGGCTGAAATAGTGAAAAACGATAAGTAGAGATTATCACACATTTTCTTGAAATATCAACTCTAGTTTTTCTGGTGGTATAACTGCAATCAAATTAATATATCCCTTAACAAACTGATTATGAAATATGCTATATGTATTTTTCTTGCTTAATATATATAAAGGAGCGCTGGTAGCACAGTGGTTACAAGTTGGGTTGCTAACCTCAAAAAGCAGTTTTGCAATAAAATTTATATATTCCTTGACAAATTAATTATTAAATATGCTATAATATTCCTTTTTCTTCTTTACCCAATCTCAATTCCCTAATTCAGTTTCATGGAAAGAACAAATAGCATCTATTCAATCTCTCTGGTAGCGTAGTGGTTACAAACAAATCGGGCTGAGAACCACAAGGTCAGCAGTTCGAAACTACCAGTCGTTCCGCAGGAGAAAGATGAGGCTTTCTGCTCCTGTAAAGATTTACAGCCTCGGAAACCCTGTACAGGGTCGTTGTGAGTCAGAACCAACTCCACGGCACATAACCACCAATCACCAGAGACCAAAGACCAATCCAATTATACATAGACCAAAAACCAATCCAATTAAACTCAAGAAAGTAGAGAATTAGCACAGATGAACATAGGCATTTGCAGATATTTATTGTAGGGGCTATTCACTGTACTATTCTTTCAACATCTGTGCGGATTTAATTTTTTTCAAAATAAATACTTGCTGTTGTTAAGTACCGTGGAGTCGGTTCCGACTCATAGTGACCCTGTACAGGGTTTCCGAGGCTGTAAATCTTTACGGGAGTAGAAAGTCTCATCTTTCTCCCGCGGAGCAGCTGGTAGTTTCGAACTGCCGAACTTGAGGTTAGCAACCCGATTTGTAACCACTATGCTACCAGAGCTCCTTAAAATAAATAAATCCTGGTGTGGTTGCTATATGATAAGCACTTGACTGAAAACCACAAGGTCAGTGGTTCGAACCCAACTTCTGTTCCTTGTAAATCCTATTCAGAGTGACTATGAGTAGGAACCAACTAGATGACACTTAACAACATTTCTCATATAACATATACTCCTGCATAGTTATTTTAAAAAAAGAAAAACCAGCTAGGTAAAAGATTATATTTCAATACTATAAAGATTTGCTTATTTAAAAAAATAATTTACTGAGGTGAAAGTCACATAAAATTAACTATTTTTAAAGTGAACAATTTAGAGGCATTTAATGTATTCATAATGGTGCACAACTATCACCTCTATCTAGCTTCAAAATACCTCTTACTAAAAAAGTATCTCCCATTTCCCACTTCCTCCAACCCTTGACAACCACAGTCTTGATGCTATCTCAGGATTTATCTATTCTTCTGAAAGCTCTAATTTTAAGATTACTGGTACTTTCAATATTTTCCAAGATACTATAAGGTGAGGAGTTGTCACTGAATATTATGTGTCATGAAAATAGCAAAAGTACATGTGTACCAAAGAAAAAAGTATGCATGTAAATTTCTGAAATACATATGTACTGTCAGTGTTACAGAGTGCTGGTGTGGCACTGTAGGACAAGTGCTGAGATGCAAGGTCAGTTTGAACTACAAGGTTGGTGGTTCAAATCCACCACCAACAACAGGGCTGCTACGAGCCAAACCAAATCAATGGCCCTACAACAACACGTATTGTTATAGTCATACTGCTTACAGATTGGAGTATAAATGTAGGCCCAAAACATTCAGGATCAAACAAACACCAAGCAAAAAGTCAGCAACCTCTTCTGATAGAATGTGGCAAAGGGAGGCAGATAAACATACAAATGCAAATATACAATTTAGAAGAAGGTAATGTATTTCACTCAGGTCATTCTAGCTATATACAAAGATGCTTTTTATACTAGATAGATATAGGGAAAAAAATCTTGTGTTTTTCAACATTGAACTTACAAAACCACATCAGTATATGCGGGAGTTTCAAAAGTTCACAGAAATTTTCAATTATCTTTCAATTCAATTGATTCGTGAACTTTGTGAAGCTCCCTCATAGTTATTCCAGCATTATTACCATTTATTTTGACTAAATAAAAAATCACACTTCCCCAATGAAGCTATGATATTTGATACACAATTAAAAGCACCATCAATTATACAGTACAATAATACAACTAAAATATTTATTAGTGATTTATTAACAAGCAGTTTATAATTACAGAGAAAAGCAAAGGGTCTGAATATCTTTTAAAGAGTTATACACCATTATCAATAGAAGATGCACATATCCAAACAAAACTAGCCTAATTATGAGAGGTGAGAAAGCACCCTAATTGCGAGGCTGGAGAAAACACCCTAATTATGATGGGTAGAAAAACAGTCAAGACAAGTTTACAAAATTACCTGCATCAAATTCAAATTCAGCTCCATCAGCACTGGTATCACTTTGCAATCCACCTCCATTATCTAGCCCAAGTCCATCTTCATGTTCATGGTCCACTGCTGTTTGAGGCTTCAGGGGCTGAGCTGGTCTGTGTAAGCTAACTCCTTTAAAGGCTGGTGTCACCACAATAAACTTCATCCACTGCCTTGCCAGTGCAACTAAACCTTTCTTTAAAGTTACCAAAGCAGGAAGTCCATCACTCTGTAACAACAGCAATGTCATTAGAAGTAACTTTAAAGTAATAATGTTACTACTTAAGTGTTTGCACAAATTTAAATAATCCCATTTTCATAATTCCATTTTAAAGAAGAGGGAACCAAAATTTAGATGCCAAGTAATTTGTCCAAGTTTACCCACCAGAGACAGAATGTCAAACTGACTTCAGAACCCAAACACTAAGAATAATGCTGCATCTTTCTGTCAAAAACAACACTGCAGTACTAGGAGAATGTGAGACTAGACCTAGGGTACAAAATTGGGATTCTTCTTAAAGAAGAATTTACTTTCTGGTCCCAATGAAAAAAATCTAAATGTATTCTGAGCTATCTAGAATGAAATATTCACTAGGCAAAGAGTAAGTTTTTTCAAAATATAGTAACATTGGATTCTGGTATGGAGCTGTAGGATAAGACTGGACTGCTAACCACAAAATTGGTGTTTCAAACCCATAACCCACTCCTTGCAAACCCCATACAGGGTAGCTATGAGTCAGGTTGCTTTACCACACAAAACAACAGTCCCTCCTCCAAACCAATTCAGACACTCCAGAATGCCACAGAGCAGGAATTTTCTAAAACTAAAAAGGAAATCATCTTGGTAGTGGTGGTTGTGTGCCACCGAGTCAACTCCAACACACAGTGACCTTGTATAGGATTTCTGAGGCTGTAAATCTTTATGGAAACACAAAGCCTCATCTTTCTCCATAAGAATGGCTGCTAGATTTGAACTGCTGACCTTGTGGTTAGCAGCCCAGGTCATAATCCAACATGCTAGCAGAGCTCCGTGAAAATCAGGTTACTCCTCTGTTTAAAGTCCGTCCTCACATATATTAGAATACATTTATAGGGTTACAGACTTAAATATAAAAAGATTACATAATAGGTAAATAACAGGCAATGCCCAAAGTAAGTATCCACAGGTTAAAGTTCAATCTTAACACTGCATACAAAAAGACGTAACTTCGATCATATGTGCATAGTAACAAACTAGACTCTTTTTATGTTGTTGTTAAACCTAAAATACAATATGCTAGCAATTTATAGCTTAATGTACCATTTTCTGTTCCTATGTGATCTATGGACTTTCTCTTTTCAAAATGATCTCCTGTCATTCATCTTCATCAATCTAAACTTCAGTAGGCACACAGTTCTTTAAATATGACATCCTATTTCACACCTCTACACCTTTATATAAGGTGCTCTGGTAGCACAGTGGTTACAAGTTGGGTTGCAAGCTTCAAGGTCAGCAGTTCGAAACTACCAGCCAATCTGTGGGAGAAAGATGATGCTTTCTGCTCCCATAAAGATTTACAGCCTCGGAAACTCTATACAGGGTCACTATGAGTCAAAACTGACTCCACAGCACATAACCACCACCACACCTTCATATGGAGTACTGGGGTGTGGTGCTATAGAATAAAGTACTGGACTGCAAGGTTGGCTTGAACCACAAGGTCAGTGGTTCAAACTCACCAGCTGCTCCTTGGAACTCTATAAAGGTCATTATGAGTCGGAACTGACTCATACATACATATACAGTCCAAATGTTCCCTACAAGCAAGGATGGGGAGACATAGTCTTTCCCACTTTGGACATATTATCTTTGGACATATTATCAGGAAGGACCAGTCCCTGGAGAAGGACATTATGCTTGGTAAAGTGAAGGGACAGCAAAAACAAGAAGGCCTCCAACAAGATGGATTGGCACAGTGGCAGCAGCAATGGGCTCAAGCATAACAATAATTGTGAGGATGGCGCTGGACTGAGCAGGTTTCTTTCTGCTGTGCATAGGGTTGCTATGAGTCAGAACCAACTCGACACCACCTAACAACAACATCAACAATGCACTTCAACATCCCCTTTTACCATCTCTTTACAACATTTATCTAGCAACCTTTACCAACTTTTAAAGACCTATCTCTCATTCTATAAATACTTTCCCAAAATCACTTTAAATGAATAGATCATATAACCCTTTCTGCCACACAAAACTTAGCAAAGATACCCATTCCTGGGCTTACACTGATCACAATTGTGTTTCTAACTAGCCTGTTGAGTCTTTGAGATGCCTAAATGGCTAGGAAAATCATGTGCACCACTAAATAAGAATAAAATGTTTGTTGGATTTATGAGACAACTGAGTGATATACATTTGCAAAGTGGGCTGGCCTTAGTTTCTAATGCCCTTGGTGGTCACAGAATAAATTTAAACTGAATGCTTAAATAAGACTAAATTCAATTACTTTGATTTCTTTACTTCATCACTGACAAAGAGACAAAATAAAGCACTCAGTCCTTTCATGGTAAAGGTAAACGTTTGTGACCTCAAGTATGTACTAATGCTTTGCCTCAGACTCAGAAATGTGATGAAAAATCAATATGTTTTCACAGATTTTAGTTTTACTTTATTAAAATATAACTGGAAATTACCAAAAAGATGTACCACACAGATTACATAATAGACAACAGTACCTTAATTTGTCATTGTTAAGGTATTCTATAATAAGTTCTAAGCTTAATCAAAAATCAAGAACTAAACTACATGTTGGTTGGCTGTGTGCCGTGGAGTCGGTTCTGACTCACAGCGACCCTGTACAGGGTTTCCGAGGCTGTAAATCTTTACAGGAGCAGAACGCCTCATCTTTCTCCCGCAGAACAGCTGGTAGTTTCGAACTGCTGACCTTGCAGTTCACAGCCCGATTTGTAACCACTACATTACCAGTACATAGTTCACTTAATTCAAGATTGTACTACACAAGTGAGTACTTGGTCCTTTCACAAATTAAACCCCAACTTAATTATCCTCAGTTCTCCTATGTAAAAATAAAACAAAGGGAGTTAGTTTACTAATGAAGCATTTGAAGATTTATAAGAAATACATTAGTGATAATAAATGCACATACAACTAAGACTTTTAAGTGAATTTAACTAGTTAAAATCCCAAACCATAAATTTTATATATTTAAAAAAAAATGGATATGCTTCTGAAATCACTTTGATTTCATTCATGCCAGTTGAGATCAAAATTCTATTTCCTTTTTCGCTAAGAAGAATTAAATATAAAATAGCAAAAACCAACTTGAAAATTATGATATTTCATAACCTTAAACTTGTATTTTTATTTTTATGGTTGCTTCAATTCTTTGCAAGATAATACAGAATTGAGATTTTTTTTTAGGAAAAGGATTCTTTATAAAGAAAATTGAAATAAAGTTCAATCATTAAAAATTTGGTTTTCAACAAGGATTAAAGATCTAAATGTAAAGTCTAAGTATAAATATCATCAATGAAAAAATAAGAACAGGGGCTCTACTACATGACATAAATACACTACTAAACATTATTAAAAACACACAAACAGCAGAAGACAAAATAGAAGACTGGATTTTCTAAAAATTAGACACTTATGTACATCAAAATATTACACCCAAAGAGTAGAAAGGGAGATAAGAGACTGGAAAAAAATGTTTTTCCAACAACGTATCAGACAAGGGACTAATCTCAAAACTTGATAGAAAACTACAAAACCTTTATGAATATATGACAAACACCCAATAAAAAAATGGGCACAGGACATGAGCAGACACTTCACCAGGGAAGACATTCAGGTAGCCAACAAACATATAAAGAAATGTTCATGATCATTAGTCACTGTTGTTGTTGTTAAGTGCCGTCAAGTCGATTCCGACCCATAGCGACCCTATATAGGGTTTGCGAGGATTAGCTGGTAAGCTTGAACCACCGACCTTACAGTTCATTAGAGAAATGTAAATCAAAACAACAATAAGATATCATCTCATAATAGCATTAGTAACAAAGTTGAAAAAAATAGAAAACAACACACACACACACACACAACCCCACCAGAAAACAAATGTTGGCGAGGTTGTAGAGAGACTGTGACCCTCCTACATTGCTGGTGGGACTGTAAAATTGTTAAACCACTCTGGAAAACAGTGTGGCATTACCTCAGAGAGTTGGAAATAGAAGTACCATATGACCCAGTAATCCCTCTACTTGGTATATAGTCACAAGAAATAAGAGCCAGGGCATGAGTAAATATTTGCACACCAATGTTCAATGCAGTAGTATTCACAATAGCAAACAGATGGAGACAGCCTAAATTCCCCATTAATGGAAAAGTGGATAAACAAACTTTAGTACACACATAAAATGGAATACTGTGCAACGGCAAAGAATAGCAATGAATCAATGACACATCTCCTAACATGGATAAACCTAGAGGACATTATGCTGAGTGAAATTAGTCAATCACAGAAGGACAAATATTGTGAGCTTTTTTTGTATGAGTATACTCAAGTATGAGTCCACTATTGTAAAAACTCAAGAAAAGGTTTCCGTATTAAAAGAAACATTCCTTGATGGTTTCCAGGGGTTGGAGAGAAGGGAGAGTCATTCACTAACTAGAGGGTAGACACATGTTAGCTTGGGTAATAGGGAGGGCAATGTACAATATGAGGAGGGCACTATACAAGAAGAGTGAGGTTGGCAAAACGATGAAGACAGGTGAAGACACAGGCAAGTATCCTGTGTCTCTGTTCATGCATGGGTAAGGAAGGAAGAGTGCAGTCCAAATATATATATATGAGCTCTGGTAACGTAGTGGTTACGAGTCAGGCTGCCAACCTCAAGGTCAGCAGTTCAAAACTACCAGCAGTTCTGCAGGAGAAAGATGAGGCGTTCTGCTCCTGTAAAGATTTACAGCCCCAGAAACCCTGTGCAGGGTCACTATGAGTTGGAACCGACTCCACGGTACTTAGCAACAACAACATATAAATGGTTAGAAGTCGGGTTGCTAACCTCAAAGTCAGCAGTTCGAAACTACCAGCTGTTCCAAGGGAGAAAGATAAGGCTTTCTGCTCCCATAAAGATTTACAGTCTTGGAAACCCTATACAGGGTCACTGTAAGTCAGAACC